CTGGACGACATCGCTTAGCCCGGAAGCATTCCCTCAGACGCGGACGGCACATTCGCTTTTCCCAGGCGGGCCGATGGTTGCGTACCTTCCTCAGTGGGTATGGATAAATGTTTTAAACCTGGTCGGCCATGATTGGCTCTGACATTTGGGTGGCGACTATAAACGGGTAGTTCAATGTTCCCATTTACACCGATGTTGGCATGTGTGCTGATGTGTACTGGCTACGGCTATTTTTCCCGGACCACTCACGTGCCTGTTTTGGTATTTGGCCATTGGAGAGGCTGTTCGCATGCTGTTCATGCTGTGTTACGCTGACAATTTTTCCGTTGTCTAGATTGGATAGTAGGTGTAATGCAGTGTACCCAACAGCTGGGCAATTACACCGAGTGGCGCTACAAACGATAGCTTGTAAGGTGATTTAGTCGACATGCGAGTCAAACACAAGACGCTCACCTAGAGGCTAGACGAGCGGGCTGGAATGCAGGGCTCCTTCAACACACGGTTGTATGATGGCACTCCATCGCGGTAGGCTGAATGCGCGCAAGACACCACCTACAGGCACTACCAGACTGGGCCTTGTCATGTAACTAGAATCTGCCACAGTTGGTGGTGTCCGAGTGAGCTCCAATCGGTGTAGACTTTCCATTGTAAAGCGCACCTGCTATTCCATACGTAACCTGATTCGAATTGTGGCGAGCTGCTGATCGGGAAAGTTCAGCCGTGTATACGACAGGACGGCTGAGTTCGACGAGCACATACTCATTAGCTGCAGCTTAGTTGGATGCCTTGCAAAATCGTGTGTCGCATTCGCATACATGTACGTTATGTGTGTGGCCCGACCTAGTGGTTGCATGGCTGAGGCTCGGTAAACACGACCACTCGAGACCAACGTACCCCCCTGGCCCAACAATTCCAAGTCTGACGTCCCATACGAGAAACGCGAGGTGGGCAGCTGGTGGAGTAGCGAGCAGACTAAGAATGCAAGGCCATAGAAAATAAAAGAAACGGACGAATGAGGCGCGTTACCGGTGAGAAGTAAGTAGTGTGGGTGCAAGGGTATATGCAGACCAACTGTTCTCCGAGAGACGTTGCTCGGCCCGCGGGGCTGTCACTGACTTCGAGGCTGAAAGCTTGAACGGTGAGCTAATGGGGCTCGGTTCTGGGTAGCGGGCCACTCACGTGAACTGAACCGCATGCATACATGACGCAGAAGTATACCAAGTATCATGTAGTATTTGAACATCCGTCTGCGCAGCCAGGAAGCACGATGAGGTGGCCATGCTATGTAAGAATAGATAATCAGACGCAGGGTATCACGCGGAAAATTGTTGTCAAGTGGCGTGGGAACCGGGACTTCGCATGCCGGTCGGAGTATTCGATAGCGGACATGCAGCAGCTAGTGGTACATAGTGCTGCAAGGAGGTTTCCATGTGCAGAATGCACACAGCTTTTGAAGCAGCGGTGTGCATATTGATGAAATGTCGAATCAGATCAAGTCGCGTGTCGACAGAAGGCCGAAAAAGAAATTCTAGACGAATGATGTATGTAAGAGCAGCGCAGGAGATGTAAGCAATGCAGGCGTTAGTGCCACGCAAAGGCGACTAGGACTGAGCGAAGAGGCATTGCTGTATGATTGTAGATGGTGTTGATTCGCTGGTTCCACGACAAGAGACGTTGGTCGCTCATGTCGGGATGGTATCTAAGCGCGCGGTGGAGTGACATGTAGGATGTGACGACAGCCTCCACCATGCATGGCTGCGGCGCAGGTTGTGTGACATTTGCCGGACTATTGGCGTTTAATTTAGGCGAAGTAAGCGCTGACGCATCGATGGCGATGGTCCGGGATGCTGGTTTACTTCTTCTTTTTGTCTTTGATCTTTTTCTTCGATTCTGTCCCGCTGCTTGCGCCGCTGCCTGCCTCGCCGCCCATCATCTCCCCCATCATATCCTGTAGGAAGTTCTCACTGACACCACCGCCCGTTAGAGCAGGTGAATGTAGAGGGAGGATCTTGCTCATCTTCCAGCCCTTTGGTATCGCTGGCTCCGGCATCTCCTTGGGCATAGGTAGGCCCGCGATGGGTAATCTGAAAGGTGTGTTCTTCTGTGTCGGGTTGGCTTTCAGGGCCTGTGCGATGAGGATGTAGAGATGATGCTTGTTCTTCACATCGTCGTCCATCAATTTTCCTTCGTGCTTGAGAAGGACGCGCACTCTGCCAGGATTGGCCCAGTCTTTGGGGTGAGTCTTGTCAGGCTCAAAGACAGTCCGGAGGCCCAGGTCGGCAGCAGCGTCGGCCATCTCCCGTGCTAGAGGGTTCTCCACCGCAAGCTCCTTGCCCACGCGACGCCCTTCAGCCCTTGTCCGTAACCTGTCAAAGTATATGGGGTATAAACACTGGTAGTGCTTGGACTTTTCTCGGTCCGTAGATGTCGTCATCGAGGGCGATTGCGGCTGCAGCATCTGCGATTGGAGCGCCTGCATCTGCGCTGGTGTCGGCATGGGCTTGTTGCCCGTGCTGGGTATATTATTCGCGTTCATCAGAGCGGGTACATCGTCGATGCCCATCTCTGACGGGTCGCTGTCCGAGTCGCTGACTTCTTCGACGCGTGGATTCATCGTGCCTTCCGGTCGGTCCTATGTGGGCGTCAGATTGCGTGCAATGCCAGTGTTCCTCGGGCCGTCACTTACCTCGCCTTCTCCGGTACGATAGAATTATCGCAATGTCGTGAAGGCCACCTGCACGTCTGGAAGGATGTGGGGGAAGCTAAACGCGGGGCTTGGCTATGGAAGAGGCAGGCGCTTCCGACTCGGGTCGGCGCTTCGGCGCTTTTCTTCCAGCTCCGCATCACGGCCCGGGCAACTGCTCTCGTCCCGACGGACAACTTCAGCGCTCTAGCACCACCTCCGAACACTGAGCTAACTCTCTCTTTCACCGCAACTTGCGGCCTCCAGACTCGTCAGGTGACGTCTTGGGACCCAGCGAACGGCCTGCCGCTATTCGCAGGGGTCTGACCGTAATCACCCCGCGCCACCACGTCAAGCCCGCTCCGTCGGGAAAGTACCTCCCATATCGCTATCGTGGCACCTGACTTGGCGTCTACGTTTACTGTCTACCTCATTGCATACCTCCGCACTAGTGCCAACATCTGCAGTCAATCGATTGTGGCAGCTGGACCGCGTGTGCCCGGCCATTGAAGCGTCGACATACCATTCCTCGCATCGAGCCAGTACGATGAAACGCGGCTGGGTCGCATGGATGTGGTTGGCCAAGCCATCACCTGCAGTAGGCATCAGCGTGTGAGTTGAGTCGTTACCTCCAGCACATCCTTGTGTCCTGGTCTACAATACTGTAGTTCACATATCGAGCCAGGCAGGACAAAAGATCAGTCTAGACATCACAGGAAACCACGTCAGGCCATGTCTACGCAATCGAAGGAGTACCAACATACCGACCTTCAAGGCTTCTGGCCCGTATAATACGCCGGTGTTCGCGATACTACGCCTGCGGTACCATGTCTTCTTGCTTCTGACAGAATTCGCGATCCTCCCTTCGTGTTCAATGCCGTCACTAACTAAAAATGAGCTCTTGGATTCTATACACTAGGTTCGGTTACACAACATGGACGGCTAAAACCCGATCCGATCTTCCTGGCATTGGATTGCATGCGGCCGCAGTGGCCTCGTCGATCCCAAACCCCGGCGTATTTCTATACTCCACTTCTACCATGTGGCAATGATGCATGCGTCGCAGCCGTTCGTGAGCCGCTAAAACGAGGCGTTGTCAGTCCTGCATTGCATACGTGTGCCAGCCTTCCAAGGTGAGATGCGATTTAGCAACCGACAAGGACGGGCTATGCACGCACGACTCGCGTTGGCCCAGCTAACAACCGTCCCCGTCTCCTGGATCATTTTACGCCGCGCAGCATATGCAAGGATGACTATCTAGGGGTATTTCTGGTTTTTGCCCTGACATCGAGGCGACATTGGCCCCTGGTCTTACACGATGCGTCTTCCTATCACGTCCGGCTGACCGTCCTTTTATCATCTCGATAGCAAGCAAAATCCGGTAAAACAGCCACAGTCTGCGCTGATTGGCTAACAAAGTAAGCGATTGACCGTTAACACTCCACAAGAATGAATAAGCCTAGAATCCTTTCACCGCATCCTACGTACATATCTATCCAGCTGGGAGCCAGTTCTCAGCCGGCGTTGTTTCTTGCACTGGTCTCCACGATTTTAGGTTCCCCGAACGGCCCGAATTCAGGGCTGAAGATGATCTGCCGAGAATCAAAGTGTGGTTCTAGTGACCCTGAGCCTGATTACACCACAAACGCTCCACTCCAAGAGGACGCCTCACCGGTCGGGTTACCATACGCATCGTGGTTAGCTCACGCTACTATCAATCGACTATAAAGTCACCCATCATTCACCTGCGTTTCCAGTCTCTCAAGGCATTGTGCGAATACATTCGACACTGCACACACCGTTTCCTATATCAATCCTTCCCCTTCCTCCACACAACTCTGACTATTACTTACTGTTACCAAAATCCATCTAGCAACAATGGCACCAGCTTTGTTGATTGACGATAGCGGCAGTTCTAGTCCCGCATCTCAGAGCAGCGTCTCACTTGGATCGATGGATTCAGCTCCTGCGCTCGTCACTTCTCGCAGCCGTCGAGCCCGCCGAGGTCGCGATCATCTTGGTAGTCCTTTACTCAAACGCAGTGCAAGAGGTCCTCCGTTGTTTCTGGAAAGCGCTTCGGGCAACTGGCTGTCGGTGGTAGATGGAGAGAAGGCCTGGAAGATCTTTGACGCATCTGGAGGTGCCGCTGTATCAAACATTGGTCATAGGGATGAAAGAGTGTTTGAGGCAGTAAGGAGGCAACAAGAGTCTGGAGTTGGGTATGCCGCATCGATGAGTTTTCACACCGAAGTAGTGGAAGATTTCGCAGACTTTCTTCTTGAATCAACCGATGACAAGCTGAAAGAAGTGGTATTCTATGGGTCTGGTAAGATAATCCAAACTTCACGCCCGAAACCAAGCTGACAGATATCAGGTTCTGAAGCTAACGAGGCGTCACAAAAGCTAGCCTACCAATATCACTCCAAGCTGAAGCCGAATCCGCAACCTCAACGCAGCTGGTTCATTGCTCGCGATCGTTCTTACCACGGAGCGACTCTTGGTGCTCTCGAAACCAGTGGACACAAAGGCCGCAAAGAGATTTACTTACCGATTTTACCTGAGAAGACGCAGTTCGTATCTCCTTGTAATCCTAGCCGCGATATGAAGAAGGGAGAATCAGTAGCTCAATATGTCGAGCGACTCGCAGATGAGTTGGAGCGTAAGATCCTTGATCTCGGTCCTGATACAGTAGCAGGCTTCGTGATGGAGCCGGTCGTTGGCGCGGTATGTTGGTTTGACTCTGTTTCTTCGTTCGTTGGTGACTAACACATGGCTACAGGCACTTGGTTGCGTCCCCACACTACCCGGCTACCTTAGAGCGATGAAGCGAGTATGCAAGAAATACGGCGTACTTTTGATTCTGGATGAGGTCATGTGCGGCATGGGTCGCACCGGCTATATGCATGCATGGCAAGAAGAGGACGTCGTTCCAGATATCCAATTGGTAGGCAAGGGTATCGCAGGCGGCTATGCAGCCCTTTCCGCGATGCTGGTCGGACCAACCATTGTGGATGCGATGGGAGACAACGCCTTTGCCCATGGCCATACGTTCCAGAACTTCCCGACTGCTTGCGCTGCTGGTCTCGCAGTTCAAGAGATTGTTCAACAGGATAATCTTCTGGAAAATGTTCGCGACAAAGGGGAGAAGCTCATGCAGAAGCTACAAGCTCGTTTGGGCGATCATCCCAACGTGTTCGACATCCGAGGAAAGGGTCTCTTCATAGGGGTAAGTCTGAACACCACCTGGTAGTCGTAGTGCAACTACTAACAACGACAGATTGAGTTTGTGCAAGACAAGCTCACCAAGGCAGCTTTTGATCCAGAAGTCGCAGTAACCTGGAGGGTACATGAGCTTGGTAAGTTCATCTGTTTCGGATGATTGTTTCATCACTAACCATTTCTGCAGGGCTGAAGGATGGATACAATGTATATGTGTACCCAGGTTCCGGAACGGTTGACGGCATTCGCGGCGACCACATCATCATCGCCCCTGCATACAACGTCACCGATGACGACGTTGAATTCATCGTGGAGCGCATCAGTAAGACGATTGTCGATTTCTTCGAGGAGCTCAGCATCACGCCCAAGTTGTAAACATCGACGTTGCACTATCTTGACCGCTATCCGACCTCATTTTCTCGGCAACGAACGATAACGATTTTCCTTGATTACTTTCTTTTCATTGCACGGAAGGCTTTTGTGCTCAGCATATACGCGGCGGCTCCATGAAGCCTTTTCTGGGATCGGCTTTTTGAAACTGGCATTCTTTCGCGACTTTGTCAATTTCATGTGCAAAACTGCATTGGGGCTGCTGTCTGAATCATTCATTGCACTGGAAACGGCTATCAGGCTATAGACCAAAAGATTGTTATCATGTTAGAAGCGCATGGTTCGATTTCTACTTTCCTTGACCTATTATGGTCCAGATATATGTCTACGTTCATGTCTTGATCGTGGTCTTTGTTTCACACGAGCTAAGTAGTATATGACAAGAATTCAGCACTTGTCTATATCATGACAACATGTGTAATGCGTATTGGACATGCCACGCAGAATATAAATCCCTTTATGACGGAACATAGAGACTTTCGAAGATGTTGTACTGCGTTCGGGATATATCTCGTTTCACTGCCATACCCATACAACACACAGCAACAGCAACACGTTCTTCTTTGTCAACAACGATAAAGAAGTAGGTAACGTGCATCTTCGCAAAACATATTCTCACCACACCCACATATCCGCCAGACAAGCGTTGAAAGTCCGCTGCCATGCATCCGAGCTGCGCACAGGCCACCCATCATGTCACGACTCCGCCTTGGCGGTTAAATCACCAGGACGGCGCAAGCGGCACCAATCTTCCAGAACCTGTTGCATTATTCATCCGCAGTGACATAGCCGGAGGCAGTGCATCGCAATCACTCCGGTCATTCGTCTTCGACTACAAATTGTAGTGTAGGGGTGGGGAAAACGTTGGGGGGCCATGACGTTATCCTTCGAAGCGGAGTGCAGCGTGCATCGAACCTTCCATCAGCCAAGCCAGTGGATAGGCAAGAGCGAACCAAGCGAGCGGTACCAACCGCGGGTGAGAGAAGGCTCACATCAGCGTTTCGGGCGTGTGTGCGGGAGATGTGAAGGTGAGATAGGTGCAAGTAAAATAGGAGGATAATTGCGTCATGATAAAGAAGCAACCCGTGAGCAGAAGCAAGTGCAGTTCCACGTGCGGTAGGGACCGCGCCTTGTATGTAGCCTTGGAGTGATTATCCCAGCTTCGCGAAGAACCGGGAATGTGCATCTAGAAAGGCGGCATCGCGGAAATAGCCAAATCAGGATGGACCCTGAACACCTCGAACTTTGATCACAACAAAAGTGTCGAGAAACGGGATCGGGGTTGTTGCCATGCCATCATGTCCCCCGGGGCGCTCGTCACGTACGCTGGTAGAGGCTCGACGACTACTACCACAGTAACCAGATGACATTTGTAGGTGCGTGCCCCGGGCAGCATCGCAGATCATTGTCTTGGTCTTTCTCGTGACCACGGGCGTGTTGCTTCACTTTGCAGAGCGGTCACACAAGAGCTTTGTTTGATGGGGAATGGGTGCTAGAGCCGCACACGGTGTAGGGATTAGTGTTACGGAGGTCCTTTGATTGTTGGGTGCAAGTCTTGTGCAGCGGTTTCAGTCAGATGTCTGCGACGGAGGGTGGTGGTCTGGGCGCGGTTCAGCACCTGGGCAGTATCGAGGGCGGGATGGAAGGAGCGACGCATCCGATGGGTGTAGAATATGAATGCAATGAAGTTGATAAATAGTTGATGATTAATGTTTGATATTGGTCAATGTTTGAGTTCAGGGAATCCAGACAGGTCGAGTGGAGACGGCGTGCCACCCTCTTTTGCAAGCGACCGAAGACATATTAATGGGCTTCGGGCGGCTTTTCTCTTTCACCAGGCGGGCTGTCGCCAAACGCGCTGCAGGCACATGATCTGGGTGCGAACGTCTAGCAACAGCAGAAGACAAGCGCTGCGGGATTATTGCCATCAAATAGAGTGCCATAGAGCAGTGTCGAGTCTTGGGCCGCAGAATTGGGACAAGGCAGAGTTCGGCGCGAGACGCGAAAGAGAGACGTCGCTGGCGTGCCGCGAGAAGATTGAACGAATGACGCTCCATGTGGACCGCACAGGCCGGTTCTCACCACAGACTCCGCAACAAGTGTGATCTCAACCTCGCCTGCTTCCACCCGGCGACATCAACGCTTCACCACCTCTCTGGCATGTCCGACGCCCGCCATTCTTCCCAGCGTGCACCCCCATCGCCCTCAGTCGCCTCGTAGCCCGCCCCGGCACTGCCTCACGCCGCGGCTCCAGCACCTCCGCAGCACCATCCACCTGCCCAGGCCTGCGATAACGCCTCTGCTGGCTGCGACAAAGCGTCCCAGCACGCAAAAGCGCCGACTGAGCATCCCGACGACGACGCTCCCCCAATTCGGCGCCCCCGTCGCGCCGTTTGGCCGCCTCACCGACGTGCTTGGTCCGCTTGCCTGTGCAGACGAGTAGCGTCACGACGTCGGCTCTCGCACCCCCAGCGACGCACCCAGCCATGTCGACGCCCTCGACCGCCACGGCCACACTCCCGCCCCATCACCAGTTTTATTCTCACCACCAGACGTACCAGCCCAGCATCGCCAATGCCCAGATCGCCAACGGCGGCGCTCGGATAGGCAACTCGCTCTACAACGGCTACGCTAGCGCTTCCTCCAGTTCAGACCTTCGCCGAAACGCGACTGCCCACACACGACACCCGCCCCAGCTGCCGCCCATCTCCCAGGCCCCGCCCATCGACATGAGCGCGAACGACCCGGGCTCCGCCCACCGGCGGCGGCACCCCGACTGGGCCGACTTCTACAGGAACGGCATCCCGAAGGAGGTCATTGTTATTGACGACGACGACGACGATGAACCCCAGCTGCCTCCGCCTCGCAACCACGCGCCCTCGTCACGCACCGCGACAAACCCGACTGCGCGCCACACAGACAAGAAGCGCAAGACGACCGCATCCACGGCATACGACCCCGTCTACAACCAGCACACGTCCTACTCCACCACCCAAACACCCTACTACGACTCTCCCAACCACTCACTGTCCACCGACCGCACTACCTCTGCGCTCAACACCACGGCGCCGACGTCATTAGGCTCGCAGGTCAGCAATGGCCACCACATCTCGCCTCTCGACAACAGCGCAGCGGGCCAGAAGCGCAAGCGCACACGCGCTGTGGTGCAGGATGAAGCAAAGCAGGCCAAAAGACGGGAACTGGACAATGACGACCCCTTCAGCCTGTACCAGCCGCCGCCCAACCCGGTAATCAAGGCGAAGGACGTCTACGTGCAGGTTGTCCCAGATGTAAGACCCACGCATCCTCTCCCAGGACACGAACTAACGTGCCCCAGAAGTCCTATACGAAAGACCAAAAGGTAGACGACGACGACGGCCACTACATTGTAGTACCAGAGGCCGACCTCACAGAGAGATGTAGGTCTCTACAATCAATACCCCGAAGAATGATACTGACAAAGGACATCAGACCAGATCACAAAACTGCTCGGCCAGGGCACCTTTGGCAAAGTCGTCCAAGCCTACGATAGACGGAAAGGCACCAATTGTGCCATCAAGGTCATTCGATCAGTGCCCAAATACCGAGATGCCAGCCGTATCGAACTACGGGTACTGTCAACATTGGCATCCAACGACAAGCACAACATCAACCGGTGCATTCATCTACGAGATTGCTTCGACTTCCGAAACCACATCTGCATCGTCACAGATCTCTACGGACAAAGTGTGTTTGACTTCCTCAAGTCGAACGGCTTTGTCCCATTCCCCAGCTCTCACATCCAGAAGTTCGCGAAACAGCTCTTCACCAGCGTTGCTTTCCTCCACGACCTCAACCTCATCCACACCGATCTGAAACCGGAGAACATCCTGCTTGTCAACAACAATTACCAGACTTTTACGTACAATAGGACTGTACCGTCATCGTCAACAACAGTGAACCGGACAGCGCGGCATCGCAAGGTCCTCCTTGATCCTGAGATCCGCCTCATCGACTTTGGATCAGCGACATTCAACGACGAATACCACTCCTCGGTAGTCTCGACTCGCCACTACAGAGCACCTGAGATTATCCTCAACCTCGGTTGGAGTTTCCCTTGCGATATCTGGAGTATAGGATGTATCCTGGTCGAATTCTTCACTGGCGATGCCCTCTTCCAAACGCATGACAACCTCGAGCACCTGGCGATGATGGAGGCTGTCTGCAGTGGCAAGATTGATCGAGATATTGTGCGAGCGGTCTACAAGCAAGACCGCGGCTCATCACGCAACTCGTCGAGCTCGTAAGTAGACACGATGCCATTCTCACGACGTTGCTAACAATTCTAGTGCTGCGCGATACTTCAAGAACTACAAGCTTGATTACCCCAACGCAGACACGAACAAGGCCTCGAAGAAATACGTCAAGGCGATGAAGAAGCTTCCCGTACGTCACCACACGTTACACTGTTCGTTTGATAGTCGGCTAACCTTTCCCAGGAAACAATACCAGCCCACACCGATTTCAACCGTCAATTCCTCGACCTCCTGCGGCGGATATTCGTCTACGACCCCAAGAAACGGATAACAGCCAAGGAAGCACTGCAACACCCTTGGTTCAAAGAGTCCCTCATGGACGACGGAACCGAAGCGCACAAGATCCGTCTAGAGCGGGAGAAGAAGGCCCGCCGCCAGGAAGAAGAGCGGAGGTTCCGTGATCAACAGTCGCGAGCGTATTGAGCGAATCTGCCAACTTGACAGACACACACACATACATTGTCCCGTCTGGATGGATTCGACGGACATGTGTCTTTGTATAGATTAACAGATTACCCAGCTCCGCCGCGCTTTTTATAGGATTCACGGGCACGATCAGCAAGCAAGCAGTACGATAATTGGGTTGATGGGCGGGTGGGTGGTATTGTTCCCTTTTTCTTTTTGACTGGCTTCACATCTACTGCATTTACGACAGCGACATGAACGCATGGAGAAACACCGAGAGAGAGA